TAAGCCATCTGGTTGGTTGGGTCCACTATTTGGGAAGTCTGAGGGGAAGAGACCTCTGGGGACACCTAGACGTAGATGGAAGGATAATCTCAGGCGGGATCTATGGGAGATAGGAGTTGAAGGAAACTGGATTTTGTTGGCCCAGGACAGGGTCCGGTGGAGGGCTTTGGTTAATTCGGTAATGAACCTTCGGGTTACGTAAGCCATCTTGTTACTTAAGAACATATTATAAAGCCCATCCAATCTTTCATCAAACTGTTACAACAACGATATTAGATTACATTCTTGCAACAAATACCTCGGATCACAATATTATGACATTACATTATGTACCGTTATTAACATTGACCTACTGACGTCATCGTCTGTGATGAAAATTTGTCACATTTCATGTGAATCTGAGCGAAACGAAAAACACATTTAATGCAAGATGCATAGGGGTTTGGGCGTGGCGGCTAAGACGTTTGCTCTTGCCAAATATCGCGCGTCATCTGACTGCTCGCTTCGTTGTCCCGAACAACTGAAGAAGGGGTGTCAGGAGTAATCCGTCACTATGAATAAGCACGTAACTGGGACATAATAGGTTTCCGGCGAGGATGATGATGTCTAAAGCGAAGCTTTCGCGGTGACTGAAGTTGATGAAAGACTCTCTGGTTTCAAGCCTCGTCAGGTGGTATTCTGGGTTTTGGCGCCGTGTACACTCGTCGGTAGAATTTCGGGAGAAACCTAGAACTTAAGCCCTGAACATGGGGACAGTATGTTCCTCTGAAACGTTGACATCTACACGGGGCCAAAACTCAAGTAAACGGAATCACCACCTTGAAGAATATGTGATAAGAAAACTGAGGCAAATGAAGGGGGGGAAGATTCAGCAGAAAAATAAATCTGGAAAACAGGAAATTCATTTAGTCCTTTCGAAGAAGTTGGCAGTAAAATTCTATAAATGCTTCAATATATATGAAGTCTAATACGAAACATGAATAATTGATTAATACAATTTTGTGTGATATTTCTGTGCAAAATTCCCATTAGTATACATTCCGACCGTCGCATATAATATCTAAATTTTGCACCATCGTCATGTTTATATCTAAAAAAAAAAAGACTTCATGTTTGTTTGTACTTTTATCATCTACCCTACAGCACTTCATATGCGTGGCTGTACTGGTTCATTAATAATCGCCGACCAAACCCAAAAGCTAAATGCATATTTTTCATGGCTGCCATACTGCTGTTTTGCATTAAAGTACTTAAAATGGGGCGTATTTTTAAAATTTATTACTACATAAAATTTAGTAACTCTACATTTAATGGCGTTAATGTAGGTTCCATTTCAAAGGTTAGAGCAGCCGTGTCTGTGTTGGTATTATTGATGGCAAAGAATTAAAAAGCGTATAGCTGGAGTGGCGATTAGTGGCGGTTAGAACGCTGGCCTTGTAATCCTGGGGTCTCGGGTTCGATTGTGTTGGGCAAGGCCGTGGTCTAGGCAACACGGAGTTTTCCTCCGTGGCATCCCAACAATTACTCCATTCACACACAGAAGAAGGCAATGGCAAACCACTTCTGGATCATCTGCCAAGAACATATATGAACAGGTCCCAGTCCGAGAAAAGGATGGAAGGATCCTGTTCATACGGACCTGTCGTCAGACAGAACACAAAATAAATAATAAATATAGTCCATAGAATCTGAGTACTTCGGCGACGTCATAATTCAAATTTTATATTAATTTGGCAGATTTACGCTGTGTATGGACATTGTCTGTTGATTTTACTTTTTGGATGCTTGAATATCTCAGCGGAACACTCTTTATAAATACTTAACGCATATTTATCACGAGTTTATGATTGCGTCTTTGTTATTTAAATTCACCATATCAACTACCTAGGCTTACAGAGTAGGCCTATTTAAAAGTTTCATCATTGATTTGAATTGTCAATGTATTCTGGTACTTTCTGTCAACTGTAAGGGCAAGGATGATGATCTAGCTTGGCAGGAATATTACCCATTCGAATAGGGTTTTATGTAACGTTACGTAATGTAACCGTAGAATTAAATATTAAAGTGGATTATCATTATTTACGAAGTGCAATACTGGCTATTGTGTATCGTTTTGTTATCTTGATGTCCATTTATCACAAGTAACAAATGAAATATTTCGCTTGAAGTTAAAATTTTCTGGTGTCAAAAACACGCGCCATAGGACACGATCTCTTATTTGTACAAGTTGGCAGGCCTGTTTTGGCGTGTATAATTTTCGAGAAAATTTAAAGTCAGTTTCACTACAGAAGACGATAGACACTGCATTTCGGTCTGTCCATCGGTAGGTTCGCATAATTCGACTTGACGGATTTGGATGAAATTTGATATGGACGCTATGCAATTGGGATATACCATAAAATCGCACTTTTCAATTTCCTGAAACCGGTAATTCCAACATGGCGGACGACACTAGCATCACTTGAAATGATACTAAATAACTGTGAATGGTTATAGATTTTGGAAAAAACAATTCTTTGTTTTGTGTGAAATAACAACATGGCGGCTACATGAGAGGAAAATAAAATATTTTGACATGACGAGTATTCGATAACGTGTAAGTTCAGTATGCTCTCATAGAGGTAACACGCGTTGTGATGTATCGATACTGATTTACATTGCGTAGAGAAAACGTTAAGGCCACGTGATTTATATAGTTGGAAAGTAATGTTCGTAAAGTAGCTGACGCAATCTTTTATTAATGATCATTTTAAATATACTTCACCAATGATATTTTTTTTATTAGAAATCTGCAAACAACGCATGTGTGTATTTCGTTACGGGTTGTCTTTGCAATATTATTTTGAAAGATTTTCACGGCGGTGAGTTTGAAGAACGTCTTTAGTCATCATGGACTATCACGACGACAGATGGGTATCTTCTGGGTTAAGCCATGTGTGATGGTAGAGATGTTTACCGGCGTCTTAGAAGTTCCTGCTGCCTCCATCATCAGTGCGATGAGTAGGCAGCTCGCGGCTTACATATTTTTTTTTTGTAAATTAATGAAATTGTGTAATTGGCGGAATTCAAAACAAGGTACCTCTAAATTGCAATAAGAATATCCGGTGAAGTCACGCATTTGTGAGTACGGCAAGCGACAACGACTTTTCTAGGGTCACGTTCAAGATAGTGGGTGTTAACTGGAGGGCAATGTCCTAGGTTAGACGATTCGTCTGACAAGAAGGGATTTTTAGAAACACTTATCGCTTCGAAAAAGGAAACAAAGGACTTCTATAGAGGACTCATGACTCACAATGACAATCCTTTCTTGGTCTTCTACATTCTGGACCACTAAACAGCCCCTACTTTTTCACCTGAGGACGGTAACAGATGTAGCTTCCGAAACGTTGTGTTCTTTTGAATATCTAGACGATGGACAAAGTCTAGTAATCCCGACTGTAACGCACCATCGTCAGAATCATTTAAAATTTTACATGTTTTGTATTCCACGCATATGGAGGCAGCAAGAACTTCTGAAACGTCGATAAACTTCTACCAGACTACGCGGCTCAACAACCCAGAAGACACCCATCTTCAATATTATTATATTAGCTGCAAATGGTGACATACCGGAAGGACACACCGAACTGTCGTGGCGAATTTCCAGGGGACGTATCAAAGTAATTCTGTGACGTATAGATCACGTAACAATTATTTAGTGTTCTGTCTGACGACAGGTCCATATGAACAGGATCCTTCCATCCTTTTCTCGAACTGGGACCTGTTCATATACGTTCTTGGCAGATGATCCAGAAGTGGTTTGCCATTGCCTTCTTCTGTGTGTGAATGGAGTAATTGTTGGGATGCCACGGAGGAAAACTCCGTGTTGCCTAGACCACGGCCTTGCCCAACACAAGTTATAAATTCGGGCACCGCCGACAATTAACAATATGGACAATTAACTAACACTTCAGCAGAAGGACCACAAGGTTTAACAATGCCAATAGGTCTGCAAAAGCCCGTCACTTGGTCTTAAAATCCATCTTAATGTAACGCAAAAGCGAACATAGGCAAAAGTTTGAAACATATCTGATTGACGGTTAACCTCATCTGTTTATAACTCAAACTCACTTTAGAGTCAATTCTGATGTCGCCCTAACCAAATGTCGATGCCAATATTTTGTTCGGCAAACATATGGCAACATTTTCGCAAGAAACAGAGCGGGAAATGTGAAGAATTTCCGGTACGAGAAGAACAGGAACTGGAAATGGAGATGATGATGGAGAAGAAAGCAACATTTTCGATTTCCAACTGATGGAACATGAACCGATTCCTTCTCTTAAAATTATTCATCGTCAGGACTTTTTCCATCGTCTGTTCTTTAAAACCACGACGTTTCGGAAGCTGTTTCTGTCTGTCACTTGACAGAGACTAGCTCTATCTAAGGGAACCAACAGAGTAGGTACCTCTCACCTGAAGACGGAGACAACTGATGGAACATGGCATGTCTCCATGAACCGATTCCTTCTCTTAAAATTATTCATCGTCAGGACTTTTTCCATCGTCTGTTCTTTAAAACCACGACGTTTCGGAAGCTGTTTCTGTCTGTCACTTGACAGAGACTAGCTCTATCTAAGGGAACCAACAGAGTAGGTACCTCTCACCTGAAGACGGAGACAACTGATGGAACATGGCATGTCTCCATGAACCGATTCCTTCTCTTAAAATTATTCATCGTCAGGACTTTTTCCATCGTCTGTTCTTTAAAACCACGACGTTTCGGAAGCTGTTTCTGTCTGTCACTTGACAGAGACTAGCTCTATCTAAGGGAACCAACAGAGTAGGTACCTCTCACCTGAAGACGGAGACAACTGATGGAACATGGCATGTCTCCATGAACCGATTCCTTCTCTTAAAATTATTCATCGTCAGGACTTTTTCCATCGTCTGTTCTTTAAAACCACGACGTTTCGGAAGCTGTTTCTGTCTGTCACTTGACAGAGACTAGCTCTATCTAAGGGAACCAACAGAGTAGGTACCTCTCACCTGAAGACGGAGACAACTGATGGAACATGGCATGTCTCCATGAACCGATTCCTTCTCTTAAAATTATTCATCGTCAGGACTTTTTCCATCGTCTGTTCTTTAAAACCACGACGTTTCGGAAGCTGTTTCTGTCTGTCACTTGACAGAGACTAGCTCTATCTAAGGGAACCAACAGAGTAGGTACCTCTCACCTGAAGACGGAGACAACTGATGGAACATGGCATGTCTCCATGAACCGATTCCTTCTCTTAAAATTATTCATCGTCAGGACTTTTTCCATCGTCTGTTCTTTAAAACCACGACGTTTCGGAAGCTGTTTCTGTCTGTCACTTGACAGAGACTAGCTCTATCTAAGGGAACCAACAGAGTAGGTACCTCTCACCTGAAGACGGAGACAACTGATGGAACATGGCATGTCTCCATGAACCGATTCCTTCTCTTAAAATTATTCATCGTCAGGACTTTTTCCATCGTCTGTTCTTTAAAACCACGACGTTTCGGAAGCTGTTTCTGTCTGTCACTTGACAGAGACTAGCTCTATCTAAGGGAACCAACAGAGTAGGTACCTCTCACCTGAAGACGGAGACAACTGATGGAACATGGCATGTCTCCATGAACCGATTCCTTCTCTTAAAATTATTCATCGTCAGGACTTTTTCCATCGTCTGTTCTTTAAAACCACGACGTTTCGGAAGCTGTTTCTGTCTGTCACTTGACAGAGACTAGCTCTATCTAAGGGAACCAACAGAGTAGGTACCTCTCACCTCTTTTAGAATCGATTTCTTCTCGATTTCACCTATTTTTATTTCGCGAGTTTGTCTTTAGGTCAGACCGAATAGGGAAACTTTCAAAGAAGAATGGAGTAAACTGAGGAAATTATTTCGATCGTACAACTTCAGGCTTTGTACGTTAACCTATACGACCATTGTGCTACAGGAACCACGAGTCACCTACCTCGCGGATAGTGACTCATTTATACACGCGTGCGATAAGCCGTAGAACCTGTACGTGTATATATAACAGCTGGAACATAAACTAGCATTACTTAGTGACGCGACAATGTTTTGGGCTCAACTCGTCTTCATCGTCGGGGCAGTCATGGTGATCCCTTGTACGGGGTATATAGCACCAGAACCAGGACAACCAGGTGAGCATACCGGGTGTCGCACAAGCGCCTTGCTTTCAGTTTCTCAACCAGCTGCAGTAATTAAGAATTTCGTTTTTGATTTACGAATTTTTCACATTGTAAAAAAATTTTAATAGAACGTTTTGTAAGTCGAGGAATGGATAAAATTAAAGACTCCAAAATTTGCAGAAAGCTTTCGTACACGTTTTATCCCAGATTTTTAATGAGGATACATTTCACATCCGATGAATTAATTTGAAGAGTCAGAAGTCTCGCAGCAGTCAATGAAAGTGGGGTTTAAAATTATGTAATCAGAAGTGAAGTTACATATGTACACATTCGAAGAAAAAAATGTAAAATCACAAAAAGAAATATGTTGAATATTTAAGCAACAACTTATACTGCATGTGGTAGAATAAAAAAATACCAAAAGCCCGGCATCAGATACGATTCTGGGCCACTTATACTCACGTCCCAACATAATCTAACCATATGAACCATATTAATGTTATACTCCAATCCATTTCACAGCATTACTAGTAACCGTTTTCGAAGGCGTAACTTTATCAAAAACACTGAGTGCATATTTTGTCTCATCGTAGAGACCGCTTATAATGAATTAACCAATGTTACAGAACTTTAGAGAATCTGTATCTTATATGCGTCATGTTTGTATTTGATTAAATATATTTATTTTGTACAGTCTATACACAAACGTTTGAAGTTTATTGGTGTTGTAAAAAATTATATAATATTAAAACATTTTGTTGTGTAAAATATTATATTAGCGCTCTTAATCGTAAATACGATTTTACATTATATTTTTTTAGCGCTTTTTATTAAAACGACATGTTTCGACGGGTAATACCGTCGTCTTCAGGTTTTTATCAATTTAAAATATTTTAAAAACTATTAGATATTTGATGCAATATATTATAATGATCCGCAGTTCTGTTTCTAGCTTTCCATTTCCATGGTAAGTTGCTTATTGTAGTCAGACGTTATATTTATCTGTGGAATTAATGTTTAATTATTTTCTTGGAATGCAACAAATATCTAATAGTTTTTAAAATATTTTAAATTGATAAAAACCTGAAGACGACGGTATTACCCGTCGAAACATGTCGTTTTAATAAAAGCGCTGAAAAATATAATGTAAAATCGTATTTACGATTAAGAGCGCTAATATAATATTTTACACAACAAAATGTTTTAATATTATATAATTTTTTACAACACCAATAAACTTCAAACGTTTGTGTATAGACTGTACAAAATAAATATATTTAGAGAATATGTAAATATAAGATTATAGTTCTCAGAGCGGCAAGTAAGATAAGGGACTTATCGCTCCGATGATGGAGACAGGAACCCCCTCTGAAGACGTTGGTAAACTTCTACCAGGTTACACGGCGCTACTACCCAGAAGACAGCCATCTTCATTATCAGATGTCTGTCATAAACAATTCCCTCGCAAACAGTCCATGCACCCTTTTAATCAGCCATTGTCTGCACAGGCGAAGTCGTATGGAACTACGTCATGAATCCTTCCATCCCACAAGAAGCGGTGGGCAGACAAGTCTTCTACAACCCTCCGACCAGAGTCTTCGGTAACAGCGTCTTTTACCCCCTGACATACTACGGGCCGTGGGCACCCATGAACGTGCCGCCCGTCTGGAATTCTGCTCCGAGCGACTATAAAACCAGAACGAAGAGAGACGTTTCGCAATGGGACGGCCCTTCCGTGAAGCACCAGAGGGCCAAGAGGTTCTTTCCGTTCATGTACGGAATGCCTGGCATGATGATGGGAGGCATGCCTGGCATGATGGGAGGTTATGGGACCGGCATGGCTTCTGCATCTGCGATGTCTTCCGGGTCATACGGATCGATGGGCTACCCTTTTATGGGCTGATAAGTGCAAGGCCATTAACGGGACAAGCATTGAAGTGTCAATATCGCAATGCTCAGGGCTCAGTTTGGAAACAAAAGACAATTTTTTTTTTGCAACACTCAAAAATACCATAATTGCAACTCATTCTAGCCTCACGGTGCTTTGTTCTTAGAAAATAGTTACTACGTTCATTTTTGTGTGTTTATTTGATATGAATCTAAACGGATCATAGATATTCCACATATTGGAACACAGTATGAAAGATCAGCTCCAGTCAGCCACGTGTTTGCCAGGTAACTGAGGCTTACGCTTGTAAAGAGCACGTGGCAGAAGCTTCCAGCCGTGTTCCAGTGTATGGAGTGCAATTTAACAGCGAAAGTAAGACAGGAGACTTTTTATTTTTATTTTTTCAAAGTGATAGCAGGGCTATCACGATTAACATACACGTTAAGCCCCTGGAAAATTATTTTTCATTTGTCGTCTTTCAGGTGTCCATTTATAGTAGATTTATTTCAGAAAACACGTGTTTTTGCGAAACATTTCCTTAAGATATGAAGCCGTCTAGGGAACGGACAGATATGTAACCGGAAGTAGACACTAGGACTTCTAACTTTCACCATGTTGAATATTTCCTTTTTAGGTTATTTGATCTGTGATTTTCCAACGTCAACTTACGATTTATATTGTCTGAAACTTGTAAGCTGGTAGCTTGAATTACTTAAGGTGCATTTGAAACCTTGTGAAACACATATATAAAAATCGCTCAGTCTGCCTGTCCGTATGCTTCAAACACCCCCAAGAACTTATAAAATGATTTTAAATAACTTTTGATATTTCAGAATTTTACCCCCCAAAAAAGTCGATGTGTTCAAATTTTTAATTCCATCGAACATTTTTGACGACAACTTCACGTGGAACATAAATATATTTTCGAATTTATTTGGATGAGAAATATATTCGTCAGGAGACATCAAATAATTTTACGGGCGGTATCGTGGAAAATCAGCCTAAGAGTTAAAATATTAACACTTTCATTCGCTTATTTTCCAGAATTATTAAACTACGTCATTCAGTAGCATTTGACGTTTTCAAGGCGGTGAGTCTGAAGATGGTTGTCTTCTGGGTTGTTGCGCCCTGATGATGGAGACCGCAAGGACCTCTGAAACGTCGGCAACATTCTACCAGACTACACGGCGCAACAACCCAGAAAACAGAAATCTACTTCATTCAAATTTTAATTCAGCAAATAAAAATATAATTACGTCCTCTCTCCTCTGCATCCGATGACCAAGATGAGCATAGAACCGCAAATTGCACAATGCAGTCATCTTACGTCGCCTGCTCTATCACTATGGTGACGGATTTTCCAACAGTTCATGTGTAACTGATGTACAACGCAGCGCATGTTATTACACAGCTACCTACAAGAATGTTCTAACTCACCCAGCAGAGTAGCTCGAGGTTTGAACCACAGTATTACACACAAGCACAAAATAATAAATGTAATGTTCACAGACCACTAAATAAAATGGATTCTACGTCTTCATTAATGAGTGATAATTTAAAATAATCCAATGCACCCTACTTTTTCATAGCTGAACACCTCTTCCAAATGTAAGGTTTGATACAAAATTGTGTAATCTCTGAATACAAAAATTATTTATAGTTATTATTCGATCTAGTTAAAATATGTCATCTCTTTAAGTTTAATATAACGTGACTCTAGTAATATATACCACATATAAACGTAATTATAAAACAGTTTACAGTAAACAATCCGATTCATAATTTACGGTGTTGTTCTTATGGGTTGTAACGCCATACGAACTTGTACAGAGATACCGGTAACATTTATGAGAAACATATTGCCTCCATCTTTACGAACGAAGTCGTCTAGCCTAAGGACCAATATTTTCATCGCTGCCAGAACGTCAAACCTCAAACAGTTAAAAAGGTTGACAGTGGAACCACGGTTCCGGAGAATTTGACGTAAATGCGTCTATACGGAAAGGAAGTTTATATATTGGCTTTATTCTAAATATTTCCTTTATACATGCTTTACAATTGAGATAAGTTTGATTAAGACTTTGCTTATTTAACTTGAATTAATGCCGACGTTTCAGAGGTGCTTCGTGCCTCCATCATGAAGACGATGATGATAGAGGCAGAAAGCACCTTTGAAACGTCTGTAAACTTATTACAGATGGCGCAACAACCCAGAAGACAGCTATCTTCATGTGAGTTGTTTCACTTTAGCTTTCCGTGACTAAAATATTATATCGAATATGCCTATAATTCAGACAATGGACAGTGCCTGTCTCCCACGCTCATAGCCTATTTTCGTAATATTTACTACTTCTTAATGTTATCCTCAGGTCTTGTTCTAGGTCTTCCAAATAAGTTCTCTACTGCAGTCCCTATCAATACAGCAAAACCTTTTTAATCCGGACGATATATAGTGTGGCAAAATTCCTAAATAGTGATATTATGAAAATACTATAAACTGTAATATATTACTTAAAAGCTTAACAGTCAATTTGAGTCACTTAATGTTGTTTACGAGTGACGTTCAGAAGATATTCTACTTACATCTGACAGACTTGTAAAAACTTATAAAAAAAGTTGCATATAAGAAATTATGATTAAGTTTTAAGTTTATATAATTTTAATTAATTTTTATACACCTGAAGATGGTTCATTTAAGAACCGAAACATGTCGTAAGAAAAAGATGTTCTAAATGTAAATCGAATGTTTCGATAGGAACATCACATGATATTTTAATTATCTTAATTTTAAATTTTAAATTCATATAAACGTAATTATAAAACAGTTTACAGTAAACAATCCGATTCATAATTTACGGTGTTGTTCTTATGGGTTGTAACGCCATACGAACTTGTACAGAGATACCGGTAACATTTATGAGAAACATATTGCCTCCATCTTTACGAACGAAGTCGTCTACCCTAAAGACCGATATTTTCATCGCTGCCAAAACGTCAAACCTCAAACAGTTAAAAAAACTTTCCCGGTAGTTTACAGAAACGTAGATACATCATTACCTCACCAAACACGTCAAAAGTTGTTGTTTGAACTAGAATGTGTAGGAGCTACATTTGAAGCACGTCCTTCAACAGATACAAATCCTTACGGAGTATTTTATTTATTTAGTGTTCTGTCATCTCAATCCACGTTACCGTCCTCAGTTGTCTACGCGATCTCACTGTACGTTGTAAAATTACGATAACCATTTCTACGCATTTACAGTTACCAGAGATTTAAATTTATCACAGCGGAAAATATAAAGATAGCTGTATTTTGGCTAGTTATGCCGACGTTTCAGAGGTGCTTCGTGCCTCCATCATGAAGACGATGATGATAGAGGCAGAAAGCACCTTTGAAACGTCTGTAAACTTATTACAGATGGCGCAACAACCCAGAAGACAGCTATCTTCATGTGAGTTGTTTCACTTGGAGTATAAGAGTTTATAAAGCCATCAACTTTACAGTTCGCTACAGCTGCCTGTTTTTCAAATTCAAGATACGTACATTGTCTATTGTGTTCCACACTTCAATATTCTAACAGCAAATCTTCTAGGTAACCATTATAAATCAGAAGTTTCCTTCTTATGTAATATCTTAAATTGCCAACTCACTTCGTCATTCTTAGATCGAAGTATTTTCTTGAGTACTCTGTCACAAGGCACTTGTAAATTATATTCTTCACATGCAAGACACAAGGCTTCTTATCCGTATGAAACATACGTCAGAATTACTTTTATATATCCAAATCTTCGATCACGCTAAAACTGGTCCAGAGAATTTAATTATGATTCATAAAGGCCCGGTATTCGAGTACCTGCAGTTAAATTTGAACTTAAAGAACACTACGACAATTTTCTCAGAAACGACTTAGTAAATAATATTCGGAGTGTTAACAGCATATGGCATCTTTATTTTTTATAAAATTAGCTTGATTTTTTCTCGATATGGTAAATATTTGAGGATATGAAAGGAAATACAGTTTAACTCTATCCCATAGCACGATTAACCCTTCAAAATCAAGGCTCGTCTAAATAATGTTTAAGAAAGCAGTCCGTACCGCACAGAAAACAACTCTTCACCATGACAAAGATAAACTGGTTAATGCTATTTGAAGAAATAATCGCTGATTACAGTGAGAATCATACGAAAAAACACAAATATAAAAATGTCAGTGTTATTTATTGTTAACGTAAATAGTACGAATAGTTAGCACGCGGATTTAAAGGGTTAAAGTTCAATTGTACATTTCCAATATCAGTGAAAGTTCTAAAAATAAATATACCTCTCAGCTGATGAAACAAACAGAGCACAAAGGTCGTATTTTGAGTAATGTTTGTATACTTTGCTCGAATTTACATTTCTAGTCTAATGAATACTCTTGACGAAGCGTCTACATCCACCCTCTACGACCTGTAACATGCAGAATGAACCATCCGCTTGGCTGACACCTGTTCTCTCTCCCCCCCTCCACGTTTTATCTGGGGCCACCTCAGGCGTCTCTGTGATCTGACACCTTACACAGGTATATTATGATGCATCAATTCTCCAGATTTCGAGAGACAGAGGCGTGATCTTTCATGAGCCTGGGGTGAGATTAATATTGTATTTATTACTCAACGTGCATTCTAACTTCATATTACGTATGATTGCGAACTTTGAAGGGCGTATGAGAAGACGAAGTTAATTTCTGTCTTAATGTATCATGCATGCGAGTCCTTAATAACTTTTGAAGAAATAAAACTACTTCATGTATCATAGTATGACCGAGATGCTAGTTAAAATCCAAGTGTTTTATACATTTTGCCTACTATCGTCTATAAAACAAACATGGCGGCCATACGCAGTTGTGATGTGGGAGAGTCATTTAAAATAATATGTGGTTATTAACAACATGGCAATCACCCAAGAGCTTTCAGTATGATTTCGATAATTAATGATCCAGTTGAAGTCAAGGTATATGAAATCACGTTTGTGGAAAGATCACAGACACACCAAGTTATATATATATAAAATATTTTATATTTACAAATTTAAAACAAAGGGAATTTGTAATATTTTCGAAATTATGCAAAATTGTGAAGTTATCAATTTATAGTTCTCGCTAGCATCCTAATTCGAAGGAGAGTATGCGATATAAATTCTTCTTAGAGCTTATTTTTATTAAAACTATGGCGGTGCTAGATACTGGGATGTCTCAGGAAATGAGTGTATGAAGTAACTTGTTTTTTTTGCCAGCATTTGGAAAAAGATATAAGTCCCTCCTTTTTATATTTTTATTCCGTGGATTGATAGGCGGGGGTGTCATAATTTCTTCGCAGAACTTGTTACTTCCTACATCATAAAAATGTATCCACGCTTCGTCACAAAACTCGTAAAAAGTACAGAAAAACGATGGCATTTCCTTTATTTCCAGTCTACTGTTGAATTGGGTCGTTTTACTCTTACGATGGACAAAGTTTTTTTAACTGAATGTCATTGTCGTCGAAGATAATATGTGTTTTCTTTGAGGTAGTAACCGAATATATTATTATTTGGTTCGAGAAACTGCTACATGGAAAATGAAAGAGATGGAAGCATAAACTTACAGACGAATCTTAAAGAAATGGTTTGTGAGGGCAGTCGATAGATGGCACTGACTCACAATTGTGTCTAATAACGACAGAATACGATATTAACGTTGTTCGAATTTGAGGTTATAATAACAGTGTTTTTACAGACGTAATCACATAACGAAAATCATACATTCTAGTTTTAATTAAACCTCTAGACTTTCAGTAAGACTGACTTCTCCAGCAGACGCTCTCTTGCACTGACATCGAATACACACGACTTACTCGGTACTGAATTGCGCATGCGCGTAGACTACGGCGCACTGAGACAGCTTCGGTCTAAACCAGAACTAATCCTCAGGATTAACTCACGATTTATTGGTGTCTCTGCGTAATTCATGCGGAGCTCGATAGTTCCCTCCTAATCGCAAATAAATTGGGAAATATAGTGCTGTACCTGACAAGTGTTCACACTTCACAACACAACAGTCGACTGTCGACAAATTGGTATCTCGATTTTGTAGTCAACTGAAAACCAGTGTACTACTAGTTTTAAAATTAATTATCTTAAATCCAATTTTTTTTTCAAGTTTGATTCTCTGTAATTACTCAGAATGTAACATTTATTACGAAAACGAAGTAATATAAACAATAGAATACATCGATATCCAAAGACTTGCGGCAGGATAATTAGAACATTAAGGTTAAAAATTAATATTTTAAGAATCAGTGGCTGTTCCTACACTTTCACAAGGAAGGAAAACGAAGGGTTTAGAATGACGAAAGTACCAGATTAAAATTCACGGTTCAAGTGATGAAACGGATTAGTCAAAATTTTAAACATTATAAGGGATTAACTAAATTTATAGATTATTAAGTACATTGACGTAGAGAGTTGTAAAGAAACTGAATCAACCCATTTCAACAAGACGAACAATTACAGACTCCTAG